GATTGAAGCTCTGGAGCTGGAGCAGACTTACAGTATAACACGTCCCCTTGTTTGCTCAGTCAGACACAGCCATGTGCTCCATATGCCGCGGGAATCTTTAGAGTAAAGGTGCGTCTGGTGGAAATCTCTTATGTCTACAATGAAACGCCCAAACCTCACAAAGGATCTGGTGACATTTTAGACCGCACATCATTGAATATATTTTTAAGTTATTTAAACAAAAACTGTGAAGGCTCGTTGAAAATAATATTTTCGTAATACTACTGGAAAGAAGAGGATGTTGCATAAAGAGTTGTACATTTTTACCTCTAGTGTAGACAAACCGAGCAAAGCTGCACTGTACTGCATCCCTTTACCCTCAGAATAGTGTGTGTGTGTGTGTGTGTGTGTGTGTGTGTGTGTGTGTGTGTGTGTGTGTGTGTGTGTGTGTGTGTGTGTGTGTGAACACATGCTGTATTGTGTGCATGTGTTGCGCGTGTAGTTACAGTAGGGTGTATCTGTGGGTCAGATGAAGTGTAATCCGGTGATAATTAAACTAGAGCAGGGGTGAACGGGGGTTTACAACGGAAGGCACGAGAGTGATCAGGGCTTAAAACCGTCTGATACTCTGCTCAGGACTTTAATCAAGGCCTTGCAGTTCCCTACGCACACACACACAGTGAAATCTTGAAACTGAAGCTTTTATGTCTGTCTAATGCTCCACACAGAGACAGACAAACGGGCACAGACTCAACAGATGGAGTCACAACAGCATTTGATTAAGACGAGGAATTAACATGATTGAATGTAGTCCCTCTCTGTCGAGGCTTCACTGAGAAAGAGGGCTCACCGGAGGCTTTCAGTACTTTGGAAGTGACTCCTTAAATGTTGCAGTACAGGTCACAGATTCAAAATCACGACTCAAGGTGATGTGTCACATCGTTAACTTTTAAAATCTAGAGAAGACCGACACTTCCCCCCTAATTGGTGAAGTATTAACTTGTCGCTTCAGATATAAATTCAACACTTTATTCCTCGCCTCTAATTTGTCTCCACTCATATTTCCTTGGGTCACATTATTGGACAGCCTGACATATTCTTTAATTTTCATGCTGATGATAGAAAATTGTTCCTCTTCTTTAACCTAAAGGACTTTAAGCAGCCTGTCTATTTAACATAATTGTCTTCTTGTCATCAGTGGGTGAATAGCCCACAATCTCCGTTGAAGACAGCAGTTTTACTCACAGTTCCTGACCCCAGTTAGTCTTTTTTTCTGTATACTGAGTTGTGCTAATGAGCATGTTGGTGTAGTAGTTATAGTGTTGGCTTTCTTTTGCATCGTGCTGCTCAAATCAACCCTCTAATTTCAGTTTTTCATGCCTTTGTCACACCTTGTTCAGATTACTGTAATGGTTTAGTCATTTTCCCAGCATGCCATCCACATCTTGGAACAATATGCAGCTGCCAGACTGCTGTCTTCAATTACATTCATTGTGTTTTGAACACCGGTACATTACATTTCGGTACTGATTGTGAAATTCACACAATTGTATGACAGAGCCACAAGTTTTTGTTTTTTATTTTAAAGTTTATTTTTTTGCAGTTTTTTTCTTTTTTAGGGTAAAGCCAAAGACGGGCATCAGTGTGTTAGAAAGAGCGGACGACTTGCAACAAAGGGCCGCAAGTTATTTCAAACCCCATGTGAATCCAAACTTTGCCCTGTCTTAGTCACACTTCAGGAGAATTACTTGATGAAGTATTGGTTTGTGATTGCTCTATTTTTATTGGCAACAATGGTGCTTTTGCTGCTGTGTTAGAAAATCTGGTATGACATTGTTTTTCTTAAATCACTTAAAAATACATTCTATACATAATTAGTCTCAGTTGTTATTTTGAAAGAAGTGTTGAAAACTGAAAAATGTCCAATAAGTGGTACACAAGTATCATCATTGATTTTTGCTTTAATCAATACAAACAGGAACACAAACATAAAGTAAGACAGAAATGACAACAACCAAGTTACACAAATGAAAGTATACAGAGTCAGATAAAATATATTTTAGGGAAATATGTAAATCTGATTCAGTAATTTTTCCACCCTTCAAAAAGAAGCCATGGATTTTTAAAATGATGAGTAAGCAACTGTTAAATCTAACGATAATGAAAGAATAACTTGTAGAAATTAAATGCTCTGTCAACTGCTGTTACTTACGGTAGGAATGGACACATTTGTTTCGGCTCCTTGTGACAACGTGTTATTTTGTGGGGCTTCATTTTCTCATTAACTTTATTCATCATGTCCTTTGCCATTATATATGCAATTTAACATCCCGTGAAATACATGTTCCCTGACAGGTTGACATTTTCCATCGATGCAGGTTATGCCGCTCAAACTTTCTGTGGAGTATTTCAGATGAATGTTAATATCAAATAATTTTTTGCTGACTCTTCCACCTCACTCTCAATGTGCCATGGCACGGGGCCCAGGAGCAAAAATCTATGATGTTTACTCTAGAAAGCGAGCCCTTTCCCTCGTGATGTATAAGGCCAAAAGATTAGGCTTCACTCTCTCTGTCCATAAACCACAAATTATAGCATTCCCTCTGGTTGGGGCTGCCGGGGAGCAAAGTGTGTGTGTGTGTGTGTGTGTGTGTGTGTGTGTGTGTGTGTGTG